CCCCCCCCCCCATGCTGAGAATCAGAGGTAGTTGAATTCCTGAGGACTGGCAGCTACTTCATCTAGTAGGTTCTTTATGAATTCATGTTGTATGTCTTTAGAATTTTCAAAGTTAAGAGTTTAGGAAATATTCTAGGCCTACAGAATGATTGCATTTCTTTTTGTGTGTTGCTTTGTGCAGATACAGAAAAAGAGATCTGAGGAACTCAAAGCCTCTTCAAATCAACCTCTAAGTGACTTCACTTGTCCAAGGTAATATAATATAATATAATATAACAGTGAGAACTTTGAAAACACAACACAGGGCACTTCTCCAATCATCACGGTATATGCACTAAGTAAGGCCAAAAGCAACACACCATCTCTCACTGTTGACAAAACACTTACCCTCTGTTTAAGAATTTCTTCTTCATCAGTTATAGATTACTAATGAAAAATAGTATTTTTCATAACAACCATCTTTGTTCATTCCAAAAAATGTAAGTCATAATTAAATTAACATAGTCATAGCATAATTAAAATAACAAGACAGGTTATACTTTAAAATTTACTTGCAACAAACAAATATAATTTTCAAATCATCATAGCTTTTATCATTTGGGGATTTAACTAAATAGAATGATTATGAAGAGAGTCAAAAAGGCCAATAAATTACTCACTTGCATTAACATAATTTACATTCAAATATTTTGCTTTGAACACTGCTCAGAAAAAGGTTAGAGACCCTATCCAAACCAAAAAGAGCCTACACATATTTGAAAATTGGGAAGTTATATCAACAGAGAACATACATCGACTAATTTTAAATAACATTTAAGTTCTGAAACAACAAATGCAACAGATAGCCTCTAGTCTAAGTACACATTTAAAATTACGTATTCTACCAATTCACCATACCTTTCCTTCAGTGAGTTGCACATGTGGGGCTTTGGTGGGGCTTCTGATGTCCCTCCTGCCATCCCCATCTTGTACCATGGCAGTGCTGACAACTCCGCGGCCATATGCTGAAACCTCCCCAGCAGGGCCAGAAAAATCCTTCATAGGACTTTGGTCCACACCACCAACTACAGCTAGTAAAGAATGATCATTTGGATTACGTTAGGACATTGAAATGGTCAAACTTTATGAAACTTCCTCCTTTTACTCAGATAAACAGGCAGCATACAGACAATAAGCATGTTGCTTGAGGTCTGAAAATACCAACGTATCAAATAAACTCATTTTTAAACTTTTACCAAACTCTAACAGCATTCTGAATTCTAATCATTGAACTATACCAGGCTCTCAAATCAGTTTTTTGAAGGATATGCTCTGATCATGGAATTAGCCAGTAGGAGGAGCTCTAAGACCAGCTGAAACAAGAGTCAAGGTAGTATTTCAGAATTACAATGTAAGCATTATTTTAATTATCTAGGGTTTCTTTGATCATATCTGAGCTTATTTCTGAAACAAATAATTATCTATTTATTAAAATTATTTGCTTCAATAAGTTTAAAGAATTCTCCCATGAAAGAATTTTTAATTTGAATTCCATTTAAAATTGTGACAAGACAGTAAAGGTAGACTTTAGGGAATTAACTTCTATGTTTAATAGTTTTCGTTTCTCTAACCTCCCTCCTGAATGCCTCATCTTAACCTAATAATAAATCTAATACATAGACACCCTCCCACTAAGCAAAACTAGCCCTCATGTGCTCCCTGCATCTCCCCTACAGATGGGCAGGAACATAGATTGTGTTGAAATCTGTGCCATATGGCCCATCAACCCACGAAGTCTTAGATCTCAAGGCACAGCAACAGCAGGCAAAGCCTCTGTCTGTCTGCAGTTTCTCCCTCAAACCACAGGAACAGCCACTGAGGAGATTTCACTTGTATAAAAAGTGTTTGGCCCAGTGCCATGCCCCAGAGAAGCCCCGTAACCACTAAGGCCTTCAGGCTACAAGCTCTTGGGGGGGCAGGGACTGTGTGTTATCCACCATATTGAACTTGGGGGCATCTCTAATTCATGTTTCACAAGAAACCTTGATCCACACCCTTCATGAGCCTGACTAAAACTCCCTTCTCCAGTCTTGCCTTTTTGGCCACCCTCATACTTGCACCCAGTTACTCAAGCCAGAAACCTCAAAGTCCCTTCCTTCCCCTCAACACCTGCAAGTCCAATCAAGTGCTTGGATCTATTTCTAAATGTGGCCAGTTCTGCCATCTCTATTTGACCACCCAGGTCCCTTTTAAGACTTTCACAGACCTTAAGTACTCATACTTTTGAAAGCCCACAGAATATCATAAAATAAACTCACATCTTACATTAAGTATAATTATTTTCCAGGTGTGTTTTTTTTTTAACTTTTGAGATTTTCATAGTTTTCCCTTGGAAAGTATACAACTATAAGTAACTCTTTTAACTTATGATTATGATTTCTAAGCATCCCTACACATACTCAGAAATTACTGCAAAATGGGAAAAATCTGGCCTAGAAATAGTTTGATATAATATCAAAATTTTAATGAATTTCAAACTTAAATTTACATAATGATGTTGACAAAATGTTGAATTTGAATACTTTTAAATGGTTATTAATTTCAGTTTGTAGGGGATTTTTATTTATTTTTTTTCATTTTGAAGCAAATAATTTTTTTCAGGTCTTAACAGAGCCCTGAGAAGCTTGTAGGCCCCGGCCACTGAGCTTAGGGTGCCAAATGGCCAATTGGCCTACTATCACCCAAGGCAAGACCACCGTTACTCTTATCTGGATTATTTCCAACCAGTCTGCCTGCTCCCTCTCCCGTCCTCGCTAAACATTTTCAACATTGCAAAGTTATTGTTTAAAATAAGATAATACTGTGTACTTATATGCTTGCACAAGTGTGTACACATCTGTACATATACACACTACACACACAAAAAACTTTCAGCAGTTTCCTACAACACCCAGAGTAAAAACCAGATTCTTTACCATGGCCTGCCCCCAGCCTACCTCTCCCCATCACCTACTAAGCTCTGACTACACTGACCTCCCTTCTGTTCTGAATGTATCAAGCTCTCTCGATTCTTATAACCTTCAGACCTGCTCGGGCTCCTGCTACCTGTGATGCTTTGTCTCCTGCTCTACTCCCGGCTGCCTCCTTGTCATCCTTCAACTGAAGTGGTTCTTCCCCAGTGAGGCCTCCATTCCCAGATGACCCAATCTAACTAGTGTCCCGGCTTATTATATTTTCCACTTTCATGCAATCATTGCTTCTCCTGCTCTCTAATGCATCTTGGTTATTAGCTCTTTTAAAATGACTGATTTGCCTCCTAAAAGAGTCTGACTCTCCAATCTTGGAATCTCCCTGTTCTGAAACAGCTGTTCTGGATTGACTTTTATTTTGATATTTGATTTTAGGTATCACATCGATTTTCATGTTCTATATAATCACTAAAAGATTTAATTTGTCAAGTCTTAAAGTGAGGACTACTGATACATACACCTACACCAGTCTAGCCTAACTTAAAAACTAAACAGGAAAAAAAAAATACAACACATGTCAACAACAATAAAAAATGGTATCTTAATGGGGAGTGGTGGGAAAAAATAAAGCTCAGTACCAGGTTACAGCCTAGCTTTGCTTCAAGGAGGAAAAAACAGGGAGAACATAAGCCCCAACCAAATAGTTCACTGGCTGGCTGGTCCTGCACTGGCATGAAAAGCCTTCTATTTTTCACGGTAACACAATAATCCTTTTGATAACTTGCCCATCTGATGAATTACAGTGTCCAAAACACAAAAGGAAAAATAAGGGATTACTGTGCCATGTTGGTGGCTTTTACTTGTAAAAATCACTGTTTTCAGATACAAACCTATCATAACCTTCTGCACTAGGTGCCCATATAAGATGGTGGGTTTCCTTGAGCACAGCTGATAGACCTCATAGAAACTGCAGTGGTTTATTCTTTGTAAACTCTAAAATCCACAACGTAAGAGCTATAAAGTCTCATAGTTTAAAACAAAGGCTGAAACAGACAGTGTTCCAGAAAGAGGAATGATTTCTCTCAGGGCATTAAACAATACTGCCTGCATTTATTCAGCACTTGCATAAATTCTGTGTAGCAAAGGGCAAAGCTTGTGAAATATTTACATGAGCAGGCACATTTTTCAGATTTACTAGAAAAATGTTCAGTCGCTAATTAGCTAAAAGTTACACTGACAGCCATCGTACCTTAGTCATTCACTAAATTTAAATCACTGCCTTTGGGAATGTGGACATTTATTTGAACCAAGTTTATAGTTGGGTGGTCTCATAAAACTATACTAAAGATTATCCTGAATCAAGATTTAATAACTATGTATACCAAGATGCCCACCAACAAATCCTGGAAAGTATCTCCATGTGTATGCCTGGTTCTGTTTTCCAAGTTTATTCCAGAAAAAATAGACCAAGGCCAAGGGATGGTAATCCTTCACTAATGAGAGAACATTTTTATCTATTAGCATATCCAGGCTGTTTAACTAATTATTTAAAATATAAGTTGTTCAAGTTCATATTTCAAAAAGATATCAGTAATAAGAATCAAAAAAATGTTTTTGCTGATAACAGTAGTAAAACAGAATTTTAAATTTTTATATCACTATTTTTATATATGTTTTGAGATTAATCAACAAAAATGTTGAAAAACTATTTTTTCTGGTAGAAAGTCATCCACACTAATTACCTTCTTTTAGGTAGAAAAATAAAATTAAATCCTTCATAAAGTATTATAATATAAAATTACCCTTACCTCTTTTCTAGAAAACCTATTAACTCAAAATCAGGGTAATAAGATACATACATATATAATAGGAAGCAACATGTATAATTGTATAATTTATATACACTGTATAATTTATGTAAATTGTATAATTTATATAAAACTACAAAATGTAGCTAATTAGAATTCCAATAGGAAAAATATATAAACTTATACACTCCCCTTCAGTGAAAGAACAAACAAATATATTACATTTCCTTTCTTTTTGTTAAAACACTATAATTAAATGAATCCTTTGAAGCTGTGAGTGGTTTCTTATATGCTGGAAAGTTTGGTAAGCTTCAGTCAGAGTTTTTAAACTCATAAAAATGTGAATGTTTTAAGTTCCTTTGAATAAAAGTTCAGATGTTACCACACCGAAAAAACCTGTGGAATTACATTTTTGCCACAAAAATTAAGCCACATAAAATACATCACAATTAAGTCAGACCAGTAAAAATGTGTTTGTCCAACATCTCATCAATGAGAACTCTTAGCTAACATTTATGTCCACTGATAATGCAAAAAAAAATTTAGGTTCAGAACAACTTCAAAATACTACAAAATTTTCTTGTGAGTATAAGAAATAGAACTTTATTTGCTCAGGGAAAAAATGGCTATCCCTCTAGGGTATTTCTGGGGCCCTTATCAACTAGACCAACATTTTCTGATCCTACTGGGTTAGAAAGATTAATGGAATCCAAAACTATCAAAAATGTATTTACCTCCATCTAGAATCCTGGAGACCCGCTTACTAGATGTGCGTTCAAATTGTGGCGCTGGCCTATCAATGAGGGTGCTTGCCTGGCGGGTCTGGGCCTGGGTGCGGCCACTGTAGCGAAATTTGGATCCCAAGGTCAGGAACTTGGCCTTTGGTGGCTGCTCTGGAGACACAAGCCTATAGTGGGAAGAGAAAGGAACAAAATTAGAACTTATGAATTCTTTAACTTTAAAACTATATATTTTAATATTTCAATCTAAAAAAAAAGGATGACTAATGAAAGAGAACATTATTTATATACCTTCCTACATAAGAGCTTGATGATAGTGATAAGATGAATAAATCCATATGCATGTATTTATGAATAATGTGTTTTCCTCAACATGAGCAAAAGTGCAGCTGTTCTCAGTGTGTATCAAAGGTTATTTGTACTAGCTTAAATCATTTAGATAAACACATATGTCTGAATTCTTGCTCCTAGCTGTAAGTGCCAAGTAGCAATCCATTACCATTAGTAATTCTTAATATTTACGTCTATTTCTACTGGGAAAGAACATCTAACTAAGGAATCTGTTCCATCAAGTGATGCTTTCCCATGAAGAAGGCAGCGCATGGTGGATCTGCGGAGATGACCGACGTCCTTTCTTGCTAGCACAATTCTACTGCTTAAACTCAGGTTCGTAATGGATAAAGTTAAACTTAACGTCAAATACTTCCATGTATGCAAAAACATGTTTTTAGTAAGTGAGCCAATCTTGTCTGGCATACAACTGAAATTTCCTCACTTTCACTGTCTGATCAAGAGTTGGCAAAACATCTTAACAAAAAAATAACCTCAGAGCTCTTGTGGAATTTATTAAATAAGAAGGCTTTAGCAGACAATTCCACAACATGGAGAACGCGACCAACATTTTCCTAACATTCTCCAAGAGGGACTTCTTTAAGAATTCTTTGCCATTTCAAGTATTGACTTGCAGATTGATTTTCTGATGACAAAAAATATGTAAGTAATTAAGCTTCAATTAAACAGAAACAAACATACACGTTTGCTGGCCAAAGAGGAAGTCAAGGGCACCCACTAGAGAGTACACAATTTACAAAACACAGTCCTAAGTGAGGCATGAAATGAGGGATAAAGGCCAAGACAGGAGAGAAGAAAAAAAATGAATGAAGGGAGAAGGGAATGATGCTTTGTCAGAAGGAGAAAAAGAGAAGGTGCATGAACCCAACAATGCCCCCGACCCACAGCTTCTATCAGCGTACCACACAACGGAGGGCATCTGAACAGAGAGGCAGGGGCACCCAGGGGCTCGAGACAGCCCCTAGGTATATTTGGGATAGGAAAGTAGGAAAGGAGTCAAAGGACTGCTTACCTGACAGCGCCGAGGATGCAGCTGATATAATTGATGTATCGGAATAGCACTAACCCCAGAGTGGTGTGATTTTCTCTTATACAGAATGAGTATATGTGTAAAGAAAAAAGAATGAATGTGTATATCAGGACAGTTGTGTTATTTAAGGTAGCACTTGATAGCACAGGTACAGAAATGGCGAGGTCAGGACACAGGACAAATCCAGGACCAACGGACTGGCAGGATGACGTGCAGAAAGGGCAGGGGCTAGAGGGAGCTAGAACACTCCCGATAAAGCAGCAAAGGGGCAGACCACGGGTTCAAGCTGGTTTAGGAAAGGAGTTAAGCAGGAGGGGGCTCATAAGAACAACTATATGAAACCTAAGATGAGGGACGGGGGAAAGAATGGCAGCCAGGTTAGGAGAGTGTGGTGGTGGAAAGAAAGGTTGCTGTAGTGAGAAAGTGGAGTTTTGGACCACTGCAGAGGCAGACAGTTCGGAGTGATGCGTGATGACAAGGCACGGCCCACGCAACAGAAACAGACACAGGAGTGGACTTTGCAAAGGAGATCTGACACTGAGGAGAGCACAGAGCCACAACGGAAGGTGTTGCTGCATCTGCCACTCTCTACTACCACCTCTTAGAAGGTACCAAGAGCTATTTCAATTCATTTTAAGCTGCTTCCTTTCAATTACCTGTAAAAAGTATGATGTTCCACGCACACTTTCCATAGCCTTTTTGCAGCCCGGTGGTTTGGCAGTTTGAATCCAATGGTGCTCTCAAACTGTTCCAACTAGAATAAATCCAATAACTAAATCAGCATATTTCCTTAGTTAATGAGAAGCTACTAAAAAAACTATGGGTTCAAACTTTCTCTAAAAAGTAATTCTTCTTGAAAAAATGTGAGTATAGCTAATATAATTATACAAAACGGATATTTCATAGACTGCAATACTAGCTTCTATGAAAAGCAGGTATATAACTCCTGACATGAACCAACTATCCTTCGATATCCACTAAAAGTCATTTTACCACCCTCCTATTGATTTCTACCATTTGGCTGATTCAACCACCACAAAAATGAGCCCCCACAATGTGGCAGGCACGTACTACCTTTTTGGTTCTGTGAAGTTGTGGCTATTGCTTGTTTTTTAGCAACAGGAATATATATGCAGGTTTATCATCAAGAACCCTGACCTTTAGTTTACCACAGAGAAATGCATAGTTCATTTTCTTATTCAGTGGAAAAGAATTCGGTTAGCTCATGGCCATGGAGAACACTGACAAAGCCTGATTAGATATGCCAAGGGCTACGTGACATGCTTACCTCTGCTGGCCTAACTTTAATGTAGAAGTTACTGCGCTTATAGGAAATTTTCAAGATTTTCGGCCAAGCGAAACGATTGATTCTCAGTCTGTCTTTGTAAATGAGGAGCCCATTAGCACACACACCCAGCTTGATGTCCACGCCTTCTGAGTCCTGCCGAGCATAAGTCATTTGACAATGGTTAGAGTTATGAAAGTCAAATAGATCAGGAAGCTCATTGGCCCCTCAAACCATGACCAGCAATACCAATTTAACAGGTTCATATTTAAATTTCAGTGACAGTACACAAGTTAATAGAAACGGTAGGACACACAATACATCTTCAATCTAGTCAATCTTCAGGGATCAGGTTTGATTTGCCAAAGAGGTACATAACATGACTAAAGGACACAATATTCTCCAAAAAGCATGATTCATGTTCTTGAGCTTGGTTCTAGGAGTTAACGAGGAAGAAAAGAAACAGAACACGATTTATGTAACCTGAAGATATGAGAGATAAAAAGGGTTTTCCAAGAGGCTATTCTAGCCCTTGGGGACAGTATGTTAACCTAAAGTACGTTCAGCCTTTTACTTAGGTAAAACTTCAGACGGATTGTTCTAGCTAATAGCTATTAAAGTTACGTCTACACTCTGCGAAACTACAATCCCTCACAGAACATTTCTCTTCTAGGCTGACAGTGTTGATATATTTGAATTCTTTCAAGTAGTCCTCCAATAACTCCGAGAGCTGGCATCCAGTTCCTCATTACAGCATTCGTTTGGCTGGCATATTTCAAAGAACTGCAGGCTATTCTTCAACTTATTCATATTTTTTCTTTCCCTGGTGTTTTAATTTAGGATAGATGACAATCTAGAATAATCACAAGCCTGAAAGATTTTAAATTATCGAGTAAGTTTACAGACAAAAGTAAAAAATTGGCTCCTCACATTTCAAGTAGTGTTGAAAACCTAATATGCACAATAATAAAAATGTACAAATTATTGTTTATCTTTATGGGAAAAATTGAATCTCATTCAAAAACATGTAAAATTAAAGACTATTATTCAGAGATATTCACATATTCAGAAATCATTAACAGAACAAATTCTCAAAAAAAATTCTGAAACAAACACTATATTTAGTCTAGGTCTCAATTCAATAAAAGCGTAACATTTCGACTATCTTGTTATTGACAATTTAACACAATTTAATTAGTTTTAAAAAAATAAAAGTATAGTACTAGGTAACTAATGCCAATTGCTTTAGTTGCTGATATGTAATTCATATATATAAATAAAACTACATTAGATCATCTGAGGAGGTTTAAAAATCTAATCTTTATAAGGTGCTTTCTTTACCAGTATCCTGGCAGCCACAATTCTCTCTAGGAACAGAGTAAAACGCTGGGTGAATCAGGCACAGGTGTCCAAGCAACTTGGCAACAGACACAAATGGTGTGTTTGCCAAAAACATCACTGGCCATGACCGCAGGAAGCAGGCCGGAAGATTGCCCAAGACAGCATGTTCTCACCACGAGTACAGAGGCAACCCTCGTTTGAAACATTGAACAAAGCCATCTCTAGTCTGAAGCAATCTTTAGACAGGACACTCAAGCTACTTTATCTGACTGAAAAAGAAACAAAATCTGGATCCAAGTAAATGAGCTGATATTCAGTTGTTCCCAACATTGTTTTAGAATTACCGGTATTTGTATGACTAGAAATTACAGATAAAGGATAAGAACTGAAAGGGAAAAAAACATGCCTTAGTTCTTCCTATTTGACTCCTGACATTCAACCACTAAGTCGGAAAACAACTTAATAAACAGGGAAGCATCTTCTCTGCCATGCTCACTGCCTCCAGAAGCTGCCCCATCTACACATCAACAGGATCCCAGGCCCACTGGCTTCCTCGTGGTTTCAGCCCATGGAAAGTTCTCAACGAAGATCAGGGAGAAGAGGGAGGGAAGGGGTGGAGGGTGTTAACGCTTTTAATACCCAGATTCCCTTCCTGTATGGTTGCCATCTGACCGGCTGTGTCCTTGACAATGACAGCTCCTCCTAAGACAGTGTCTCCACACAGGTCTCTCCTGGGTTCTGGAGATCACTCTTTGCCCTCACCCCTTCGGGTCCAGAGACGGCTGCTGTTATACTACCTCGAAGTATCACTACTCTTGTGGTTTCCCTGTACTTCTCTCAAGAGACCTTTAACTCAAGACCCTCCAGCCTGTCCTAACATGAGTGTACCATTGAGAATGAAATTATCTTCTGATAAATAAAATATTAATTAAAAAATGTTTAAAATATGATCTCAAGACGATGAAAAATGTATAAAGGCACAAAAACTACGTGAAAGGTTCTTTTAAATTGCTACAGATATTCTTTTAAATGAGCTACAAATATCTTGTTTATCAAATATTATCTGAGTCCATCAGATGATAAATTGAATGAATAAATGTTACTTTGCGTTTTTTTAAAAAGCAATCTGTTCCTAACCACAGTGGGAGAACTTTAATTATACTTATAATAGAATTGGCAACTTTTTACTTTTCTAAGATTCAACTCTAAAATCAAGAATCTTGAATGCTTCCAATACTGCCATCAAAGAATGGGTTTCTAATGATCAACAAAGGAGCAGATGCTAGATTTACACCTGGCAAGTGTAGCAGGGTTTAGAAGGAAAGATAAGCTCCACACCTGCTCTCTCCTCCCTCCCTTATTGTTTCTCAGCTAACCCAGCCTGTCCCCATGATATAGAGAAATAAGCTTAAAGACACTAGAGTTTCAGGAAGATGTCTCACCTCCCAATGATTTAGCAGAAGGTATTAGGCAGATGGAACTGCTTTACACTATTCACTGTACCCTGTTTTATGTAGTTTTGTAAAATAAAAACATTCAAATCTTAAATGAGATGGTGTATGTGAAAGAACTTTCAAAATTAAAGGTATTCAGCACCAAGTAGTTAAAAATGCTGCTGCCAGAGACTATTTGCTAACATGGAAAAGTGTTTAAAAGAGCACATAAAAAAAAACAAAAAAAAACACCTCACAAAATGTACCATAATCCCATTTTTAAAATGTGGATTTTAACTGCTCAAAGATTTTGTTTTTAATTTTTATTTATTGATTTTTTTTATTTTTTTTTTATTTTTTTTTTTAGGGAGAGGAAGGAAGAGAGAGAAACACGGATTTGTCGTTCCACTTATTTATGCATTCATTGATTGCTTTTTGCATGGGCCCTGACTGGAGATCAAACCTGCAACCTTGGAGTATTGGGACAATGCTCTAACCAACTGAGCTACCTGGTCAGGGCATCAAAGATTTTTTAAAAAATAAGAACAATATATCAAAATATTAACAGTGATTGTTTCCCATAAAGAGGTTTCAGTGATTTTTATTTTCTTCTGTTTGCCTCTATTTTCTATGAAACATGTACTACTTTTGCAATAAGAAAAAAAATATTTAAAGAATAAAGAAAGCCACTGAGGAAAAAAGAACACTTTGCAAATATGAAGTACTATTAACACAAAAGCAAAAAGAATCTGAGGCCTAGGGAGGAAAGATATCTTCAGGTGGGGGGCTTTCCAGGAGATTTCACAAAGCATTTCATCTGGGCTTCCTATGCTACGTCTAGGAATTGGCAGGGTCTCTTAAAAGCAGGCTACCACAATTCCCCTCAGCATGTTGAGCTGACTCTGACCATATTTTTCAAAACCGAATCCATCTTTTACCCTACTTCCTGTTCCCCTTGACTCTTCCCCACTAAGTGATCCTCCAAATGAGAATCATGAAGTAGGTGACATTTATTACTGGCATGCTCCCAACCTGACCCCACCCCACCTTCTCCTAACACCTATCTCCTTTAGTTCATTCTTCCCTCACCTATCAAATGAGACTTAAGGTGCTATGTCACCTGGAGCCTGGGCCAAACTACTTTACCTTACAAGAGGGAGAAGCTCAACTCAAGGGCTCCTTCATAACCAGGGAGTTTTTGGACAGTGGTCAATAACCATGCTGCTTTTGCCCTTTCATGGTGGCTAAGATCTCCTCTCCAATCCTAAGACAGAGGCAGGAGAGGGAGCTGGGATAGAGGCAGCACTTGGCATAGCAAAAGCTTGGATGCAGAATAAACCAAGATGATGATGGATCAAGAAAGCTGACAAGGTGAGTCTTGGGATAAGTACATATGAAAGGATATTTATTAAAAATATTAGAAAAAGAAGAAAGTACAGGGGAGAATAAATGGACGATCCAACAACCATAAACACCACAATTAAAGAGGCCCTCAGGTGAGTGTGAATAGCCTTTCGCTAAGGGTGAACTAGGCTATTCTCACACTGGAGCCTTCTCAAAACTTCAGTCAACAGCCTGGAGAGGCTACCTCCCCATGATATTACAGTACCTTGGCATGATGTAGGTCAACGCCATACATGGAAAGCCTCTTTGCATTTTCTAAGAACTGAGAATCAGCTTGTGCTGGAGATAAGCCCCTAAGAATTAAAAGAAACAATATTATTTTATTGGTGGATGAAAAGGAAATGTGGCCAAGATGGGGAAAGGGGTGTATGAGCCTGAAGAGTTTCGGGTAGAGGGATTAACATGGATAAATATGCAGACAAGTAGAAAACAGGTAAAAAGGCTCCACTCTAGCCTCTAGCAATTTTTCTCGTAAGATCCTCTAATGTTACCTGTTTATTACAATGAGATGCACCTCCACCCTTACCCTTTTTATCTTAGAAAGCTGCTTTCAATTTTCTCCACTGGGGAAAAACACCCCAGCAATAATGGGTACAACATAATTAACAATAAAATAATAAAATGAAAGAATAAAAAAGTGACTTCATCTTTATGAAATAAACAAATTCTTACTCCATTTTATTTCACTAGGGTTATCATAACAGGGATCAAAAGTATTGGTACTTGATTTTACACCTATAGGAACAAATCTTAAGTTCCTAGAAAGCAGGATCATATCCCATTAATCTTCATACTGCCCATGGCATTTCAGCACCTGATATTTCAAATTCAAATTACAATACATGTTTATTGACATGTATAAAAATAAAAAAGTAAATAGTATTTGGCATTAAATAAAAAATACAGTCTAATACTGCTTTTATTATTTTTTTTTTAAATTGGTTAAAAAAATTATATAGGTTTCAGGTATACAATTCTATAATACACCATCTTCCTATCCATGAACATGGTATACACTTCTACTTATTTGTATCTTTTTCCATTTGTTTCTTCAATGTCTTATAATTTTCCAAGTACAGGGCTTTTACATCCTTGGTTACATTTATCCCTAGGTATTTTTTTTGAAGCAACTGTGAATGGGATTGTTTTCTTAGTTTCCCTTTTTGATAGTTCATTACAGGTGTATAAAAATACAAGTGATTTCTTGATATTTATTTTGTATCCTGCTACTTTACTGAATTCGTTTATCAGGTCCAACAGTTTTTGGTGGAATCAATAAGGTTTTCTACATACAGTATCTTGTCATCTGCAAATAATGACAGTTTTACATCTTGCTTTCCAATTTGGACGCCTTTTATTTCTTCTTATCTGATTACTGTGGCCAGGATTTCCAGTACTATGTCAAACAAGAGTAGTGAAAGCAGACATTCCTGTCTTGTTCCTGATCTTAAGGGAAATGCTTGTAGTTTCTACCCATTATGATGTTGGCTGTGGGTTTGATATATATAGCTTTTATTATGTTGATGTATGTTCTCTCCATTCCCACTTTGCTGAGAGGTTGTTGTTTTTTATCATAAACCGGTGCTGGATTTCATCAAATGCTTTTTCTGCGTCTATTGATATGATCATGTTGTTTTTATTCTTCATTTTATTTCTGTGGTATATCATATTTATTGATTTATGGATATTGTACCAACTCTGCACCCCTAGAATAAATCTCACTTGGTCATGGTGTATATTCGTTTTAATGTATTGTTGGACCTGGTTTGCTAGTATTTTGTGGAGGATTTCAGCATCTCTGTTCATCAATTATAGGCCTAAGGATATAGGCCTATAATTTTCTTTCTTTCTTGTGTCTTTATCTGTTTTTGGAATTAGGATAATGCTGGCCTCATAAAATGAGCTTGGTAGTCCTCCTTCCTCTTGAATTTTTTGGAATAGTTTGAGAAGGATAGGTGTTAGTTCTTCTTTGAATGTTTGGTAAAATTCATCTGTGAAGCCATCAGCTCCAGGACTTTTGTTTGTTGGAGTTTTTTATTACTGCTTCAATTTCACTAGTTTCAATCTGTCTATTCGGATTCTCTGATTCTTCCTGAATCCTATGTTACTAGGAATTTATCCATTTCATCCAGACTGTCAAATTTGTTGGCATATAGTTGTTTGCAATATTTTCTTACAATGCTTTGTATTTCTTTGATATCAGCTGCTACTTCTCCCTCTTTCATTTCTGATGGGGTACTCTTTTTTTTCTTTTTCTTTTTTTAAAAAAATATATCTTTTTTTATTTCAGAGAGAGGAAGGGAGAGGGAGAGATAGAAGCATCAATAATGAAAGTCATTGATAGGCTACCTCCTGCACGCCCCCAATTGGGGATCAAGCCCACAACCCAGGCATATGTCCTGACCAGGAATCAAACTAAGATCTCCTGGATGCTAGGTCAATGCTCAACTGCTGAGCCACGCCTGGCTGGGCTCCTTTTTTTTCATGATGAGTCTGGTTAAAGGTTTGCCAATCTTATTTATTTTTACAAAGAACCAGCTTTTGGTTTCATTGATCTTTTGAATTTTTTTTTTACTCTATTTTGTTTATTTCTGCTCTCATCTTTATTACTTCCTTTCTCCTACTCACATTGGGCTTTGTTTGTTGTTCTTTTTCAAGTTCCTTTAAGTGTAAAGTTAGACTGTTTATTTGAGATTTTTCTTGCTTCTTGAGAAAGGCCTATATGCTATGAATTTCCCTCTTAGGACTGCTTTTGCTGTGGCCCACAGATTTGGGGTTGTGTTGTGTTCTCATTTTCATTTGTTTCAAGGTATCTTTTGATTTCTTCCTTGATCTCATTGTTAACCTATTGATTGTTTAGTAACATGTTATTTAGCCTTCATGTCTTTGAATGTTTTTCTTTTTTTTTCTCCTTGTGATTGATTTCTAGTTTCATACCATTATGGTCAGAGAAAACTGCATTTATGTTTTTAAAAAGAAAAGTCAATGAATGTGGTTTGTCTAAGAACTTCTAATCTCTAAGTTTCTTTCAAATCATTTTTGTCAAAAATTTTAAAAACTTTGATTTTGCAATATGGGACAAACTACAATTTTGTCGCTAGAGTTTTTAAAAATTGTGCTAAAAGAAGCATTTTGTTTTCACACAGATATAAATGCTCTCAAAGTGTAACATGGTATATAAGCAATCAAGTAGTAATTAGCTAAACCAAAGGTCATCTTCTGTGGAAAGAGAAACCACCTGTGTATTTCAGTTATTTCTCCTACATCTATCACCACCCACATTTCTGATTTAAATCCTGATGCCTTATCATCTCCTTGGATTTCTTATTAAAGATGATAAAAACAATTAAAGAGCAAAAGGAACATACAGTAAATGACAAACAAATATGTGGGTATGTTTATTTTAAGTGTGCATATATGTATCAAGGGTTAGAAAGGGGAAAAGATATAAGAATAAGTAAACTTTTTTCCAATATATGTAAACATTTAGCCTTGTGTCAGAGTAGTTCCTCATATCATGTCATAAAGACCCTGAAAGAATATCTCAAGGGCTGTGGGGTGTCTTGCTTAGTATTAGGGGAGGTCTCAAAAGGAAAAACTGGATAATCCCATCAACTATGCTCTAATATCTAGCAAGTTTTATAAGATAAGCTATTTAAATCTATCATGGCCATTCTTTCTCCAGAAAGGAAGTCAACAGACCTGTGGGTTTTATGCAGCTCTACCACCTTCTCTTCCAGTTCCTTCGTCTGGGAGGGGGCAAACTGGAAGTCACTGAGGTCATGACTGGCATGCTCTTCAGGGTCATAGTCCCCAAGTTCAGCCTGTAGTGTGTAAGATCCCAGGAGGGCATGAGTCACAAAAGAGCAGGGCAGGCGGCCAGAGGCAATGTCCTGCCGAAGCTGAAGGCACAGGAAGTATCTGATGAGCAGGGGGAGAAAAGGGTCAGGGAGAATAATCGGTAAGATTTCAGCACTCATAATCCTTGAGTTCTATATTCCTTTTGAAAACAAATATACAATGCAGGCACTCTTCATATCCCGCTCCACAAAATTCTCTAGTAAGAAGCCTACCTCTCTTCTTGGACTCCCAACCTTATGGCTTATATAAGGAAACTGAGTCTAGAGAGCAAAGCAATAAAATGGAAACTCTGAACTTCTAGTCCAGTAATAGTGTTTTATGACTATGACTATTACAAGAAAGAGTTTTACGACTGAAGGTGAAAATTTCTATCACTTAGACTGTCCTCTTGGATTTAAAACTAATTAAATTAGCATCACCTCAAAGGTTGTAAAAATTAATAAAATTTTTAAAATAGCTGTAGCTCTTAAGCATTAGCAAGAAAAGCTAGTCATCCCACCCTTTAGCTTCTCTACCCTTTTCATACTAATTTCTTATTTTCCTGAGATGCCTTTAATAACAATTATACGTTAGTCTCTATTCTGAAGCCCTTATTTGCCCATTTACTCCATCTAAAGAGACAGCTAGTTTAGTCTGTTGTAGAAAAAGCATGGACTTCAAAGCCAAACAAAACTGACAGTATGTAACTTTGAGCAAGATAATTTACTTGTCTAAGGCGAATTAATTCACCACCTGTAAAATGGGAAAGAGTCTACTGCCCTTTGAAGATGAGGGTAAAAAATTAAATATAAATAAAACACATGGCATGGTATCCTAGGAATAGATATTTGGTACCCATAATCATAATAAAGTTACCATTATTAATTATAATAATTATTATTCAATGTCCCAAGCAGCTTACACAGAAATAAAAGATTCTGTTTTTTACTAAATAACACGTAGAAACATTTATATTCTATGAGGATTTTTTTTGGCTCCCTATAAAATTCCTTTTGGTGACATGTTAAAACCTGATTGCTCAAATTTAACCAATTTTGCTAAGGTTACCAATGACTGCTCCAAACTAAATGGCAGTGCCCTCATTTTTGAAGATTTGTGATTGTCATTCCTACTGGCCACCTTCTTCCTGTGGAAACTTCTGCCTCACATGGCTTTCACTGTCCCGTTCTCCTCTGTCCTCTACCCAAGACGATCAAAGAGGCGTACTGCCTCTCATCCAGGCCCACTGCTGTTGAGTCAGAGAGCACCACTGGCACATGCTCTCAGCCATCACATAGTTCCTTTAAACTTGGATTACCGTACAAATCTGTCAGGCCGGGCAGGGACTCTGTTGATGATCATCATAATCCCATAGCTGGCAAAGTACTTGCCATGTGGCAAGTGCTCAAATCATTTTCTGAAAATGAAAGTTGTCTCACTATCACTACAGTCTGAGTGTTTTTATGCATTGCAGGAGCTCTCTAAGTAGGATTATATGTTTCCTTGACTCCAAGAACAGTGTATCACTGTAATTATTTTATTTTTTTTAATTCATTTTTATTGTTGACACTATTTACAGATGTTCCCCATTTCTCCCCCAATAATTCAAATTATCCTCAAATTCTCTAAGACTAATGAAGAATAGTGCTAGTTCTCTACATTTTATGACAGTTTTAACCTAACCACAAAGATTCCATCTATTACTAAAATCCTGTTGCTTCCTTTTATACTATTGTCTGTACTTTTCACATTGGTCCTTTCCTCTGTTTTCAAAGCTTAAGTCTAAAGTCCAAAAAGCTTCAAACAAAAATTGTAACAGCTCCTTAAATTTCCCAACTTGGGAAATTTACACTGCAGGAAAGAGCATTCTTTAAAAATTATTCTGAACAGTGCTCTTGCCCTCCTCAAAAGCCTACCCTACCTTCTAAATGTTACTCAAGTGGTGGTGAAAATCTCAATCATGACAAGCAGGCTACCAGGTTACACATACAGGCAGGTGGCTGGTCTCAGGCTGCACTGCCAAGACTGTTAGTTAGCTCACTAGACTTTATCATTCCTCCCACTACACAGTGGAAGACTGTTAAAGCCCCATTTGAAAGGAAAACCAAAGCCCTTACTGATGTTGTAAGTTGCAATCACCAAAGGATTATCATCCCCCACACAAAAGTAATGCAAGGAGGAGTGTATGTGCAGAGGTGTTGGGTCACAAAGCCCCAGCTACTTGTACTGTTTAAAGGTACTCCTGCAGTGAGGCTCTGCAGCTTACTCTTGCAAACATGTCAAGTTTTAAGCTCCAAGCAGCTCACTGTGCAGTTACAAAAGCTACTATTTATTATTTACTAGCTGAAGCTAATTCAGTCACAACTTAATTAGTACCAGTACATCCCTATTCAACGAGTACCAAAGGGGAAAAAAAAACACTGTCATTTATCCAATCCAGGAAATAAATCTCCATAATTCCCATTTCACATGCATATCACGCACTCTTTTAAGCATGAATATGCAACTTGATATCTGATCGTACTGGCATAGCAGAAAGCATCAAGACACAGCAAACACAGAAATCAGAAGTAGAGCCTTCCAACAAGACCCTCTAGTTTTCTAAAAGTGTGTGTGTGTGTGTGTGTATATCACACTTTTCTTTGACCATGTAAATAATCTTTTAAAAATATGCAAATCTTACCAAAAGCGACTGACTTACTCTTACCAAAGCTAAGAAGTCCTAACACTGGTACCCAATTTAATAGGGCTAAAATATGAAGGCACTGGTAGATATAGAATGTTCCTTGGTTACTATTCAAATAGTCACTCTCAGAATCAGGAAATGCTCTCTTGCTCCTAAACCGAATCTTTTAATTGCAATTTAAGCATATGTTTGTATATCCCAGAGAATCTTGGAGATGAAATGAGCATTAAAATCTGAAATATTAAATATTGAAAGATTTTTGAAAGTATAACATAGGACACACAGCTGCTGGCAATATTTTTTTTAAATATTCCATTACTCAAATGTAAATGGGTAAATTAAAGTAAATAAAATTTTTGAAACTGGCAACATTTCAAACTATTTTGGAACATCTGCTTGCAAAGACACTTCTAAAACTCAACTTAAGAAAAAATGTTTTCATTTGAATAATGAAATTACCATCATTAGCCCAGGGCAAAGAAATAAATGAGCTATAAGTAAAGGTTCATTTTTGATGTAAATATAAAGTACCTGGTGATATCCTCAGTCAACTGAGAAGGATCAGGAGGATAGAACTTCACATTAAAAGTGAACAGCCAGGGGAGATCTGTAATTAATAAATATCATGGTTATCTATCCAACCAACAGAAGGACCACTGATTTTGACAAAAATTTAAAGGTCTACATTCGAACCCTATAGACTAGTCCCTGTATTAAATCAGTTTAGAGAATTTCATTTTTTAAAGAAAACATCATTTATAAAACAGAAATGAAATAAAAAATAAAAATCATTTACATAAATATCCCACCATTAAAGAATAATAGGATCAAATATTTTATACGTTTATTGGTACCTCAACAAATGAATGTTTTGCATGGTGATCTATTATGCAAACATTTTAATATAACCTCCATGGAATAGTTCTGAGATGAGATTTGTTTTAACCACAGAATCCCTAGACGCCAAATATTCTCCACCCCTTTTTAAAGAAAAAAGCATTTCAGGATTTCTACACTACTGGGGAAAGAAGGATAGTGATCTAGTGACCACTACAGCTATTCAGGAAATTATTAATGGGTTATTTAAAGGTAGTGTTAAAATAAATCCCAAAGAAAGGAGTGGTAAATTCTTTAAGACAAAATTATTTCCCAGGGTGTTTTGGTTTTTTTTAATATATTTCATTGATTTCAGAGAGAGGAAAGGAGAGGGAGAGAGAGAGGTAGAAACATCAATGAGAGAGTCATTGATTGGCCACCTCCTGCACGTCCTGACCGGGGATCGTGCCCACAACCCGGGCATGTGCCCTGACCGGGAATCGAACCCCGATCGCCTGGCTCCTAGGTCAATGCTCAACCGCTAAGCCACGCCCGGCCGGACTCACAGGTTTTCTAAAGTCCACTCACATGTAACATATACTTTGCTGTATTGTGTCAAAAAGAATGAAAATATCGAACCACCTTGCCATAAATGACATTAAAAGATGCACATCTATTCGCACATCCACATTTAACTGTTCAATGTAGCATGTTTTGGATGGCTTTCAAAACAAACGAAAAACACACACAACTCTGGGGAGAGGGAAAGCATTATTTCCTCATTCCTCATTCTGAATTTAGAGCTGTGCTCAATGTTCATAGTATTTCCAAGTGAAAAAAGTGTGTGTTATTTCACGTCATGCATATTTGAAGGCGGCACGACTGCTTTTCATGGTCAGGCCCGTGGAGGAAATGTCCTGAGTCCCGCTCCCTTGTCCAGAGTGTCATTTTGTGCTTTTCTCACCATCAGCTCACTAACTTCTACTCAAAAGTCAAAAGACAGCTACTGAGTGGCCACTGTGAACACACACGGCACTTTTGCTGGATTTTGGTTCAAAACATCATTATTCTACGAATAAAGTCGATCTTGTTGAGTTTAAGAAGCAGAGTTCAGTTTTGCTTTACACATTAAAAACATCACAAAGGGATACAGGACTTGCCCAACTAGGGACAGACAAGTGTTTCTTGGCCTGCAGCACCAGGCTGGCCGTGATGCACAAGTATTTTTTCAACTACTAACCCATAATTAAGCAAAGGCATCACAGAACGATCCGTTCTTAATGGATCTTATTCGTTTGTTTTCTAGGGACTAAAACTAGCACATGCTTGTCTAGACAGGACTACAGGGATAAGTTTCTAATGGAACACATATTTTAGGATCTATTTCCAAATCTAACATTGGTAAAATGCACCGATAATACTAAACTTTTCATTTAATTACATAATATTGTTATCCTAATTTTTACCTAGCTATATATCGAGTCAATCTAGCTATGAACTGTTTATATATTAATCATAAGCAAGACTTAGATAGATAGCCTTCTAAATCCACATAGTCTTATATGTGTACATTTGAAACATAAAGATTTTAAGGCATATTTTACATAGGAACCAATAGGTTGTCAGTTGTCAAAAGTAACTCAAAAAAGATTAATTTTTACCTTTGCTAATGGCCAATTAACTGAATAACAAAAATCCTAGCAGAGGCTGGGCTAAGACAGAACAAGCAGATCTTTCGTCCACTTTAACACCCGCAGAAAGAAATAAAGGTAAAATACAACAGCGAAACTTCATTTCCTCAGCCTGCTTTCACACTGGGACTCCACTTAGAGAAGCAGCTCCAATAGTCTGAAAGAGTCAAGTCCTATTTGTTACTATTATTCCTCTTGCCAAACCACAAAGGCAAAAGTCCTGAAATAACTCTAAAAAAACTTCACAAATAATTAAAACATAGGACCATGATTCATATCAGCAAGTCTTGCCTCCCAAAAGTTAGAAAATCTCTGACTCTGAAATGAGCGGCACACAAAAATAATCAAACAAAAGCCAAAACAAAACCATAGGAAACAACTCAGTGGAACATCAATCATGTTTCAGAGGTTATCCTGTTCTCTCCTGCTGGGGTCAGTTGGCAGGTCTGGTTTCAGAGAAAGGAAAAGAAACAAGCATCTGAGCCTTTCTGGAGTCATGCACTTTGTAGAGCGCGTAATAACTGCAGAAGGGACAGAGGAAAAAGCTCCAGTTTCTTGTGCAGTTCCTTCCATAATATCAGCACAACGTCTCTGTGCCTAATTTACTCCTTTTCTTTATTCCCCCTTTTCCATCCTGAAGCAAACATGCACAGATGAAACACCAAGATAATAAATGGGGGGG